CATGCGCATTTGCATAAATGTCTACACACACACATACACACTACACACAATAAAAAACATAGGAAATAGCAAGAGTGATTACAATAGTTCCTATTGCATTACATGCATAGGAACTAAAAAATAATAATGTCGGCGTCATTTGATGTAATTTCTAAAAATTATTAATTGACATTACTGTAGATTGATAAATCCAATGATCTACACTTTTGCCATATTTTCCCCAATATTCAAAAAATGTATATCTCATTAACTGCATTTTAATCTCATTAACAAAGTTTTCATCAACGTTTAGGAAGAAAATTAAGACGTCTGTCTTTCTACTATATTATAGGCAATCATGCATTTAATATTAATTTGTTGGTCTTTTAAATTGTATTTTTATAGCTATTGTATATAGTTACATTTCCGGAATAAATAAAAAATAATGTAAAAATTTACTATACGTGTTTGTTTGTCTTGTAAATAATCAACGTTTTATAACAGACTTTGTACAACAACATTCAACTCCCTGGTGGAAGCCTGCTAAAGTAAATTTAAGTGATGATACTTGATATTAATTAGAAAGGTAATTATTACAAAAAAATAAATATCTACTACAAATTATATTATAATAAGAAGAGTTTGGAGATGTAGTGTACCTGTAGGTAGAATTGTAAGTCTGATGGTGCTCCTCAACAGTGGGTGTTTGGTCATCGCTTTCTTCAGTGGCTGCAGCAGTGACGTTGTTGGTGGGTGGCAATAAGATAGTTGATGTAGATGATGACATGCTACATTCTGCTGATGTAGACAACGCAGTGAATGATACATCGCAATGAGAACAATAATTTTTTATAAAAATAAAACATAAAAAAACAAAAAAACATTGATTTCAAATTTACCCGCAGGCCTTGAAATTCCAACCGTGGCAGGCAGGTTTATCATGCTGTCTGGATTGTACAGCATATCAATGTCCTCCTGAAAATGGTACATGGGGATGTCATCAATATTCAAAAAACAAATTTACATGAACTAATTGGCGATTATATGCTATATAAAAAATAAAAATATTAAAAATTATTAATATTATTAATATTTAAAATATCAAAATATATTAAAAATGGGAATGTTTGAATCTGAGACAACTATACTCTATAGTTCTATAGTTGTCTCATGTTAGAATATAGGTTTGACTTCTATAGTTGTCTCAGGTTTGAAATAATAGCACTCACTGAAGTGGTAGAGAAAGTACTATCCAGTTGTGCATCATATAACACATAATTCTGAAATTAAACTAATTATTAACTAATAATTAACAAATTAATCTGATATTACAAACTGTGCCTTGTCGCACCATCTACATTTACTATCAAACGCCTTTACCCTGCTAAGTTTAAAGAAATATGTTTTTGTAATAAAAATTGCGGTTTAAATACTGTGTAAGTAGGCCTATAATACCGCAGTCAACTAGTGTTAAAAATAGCTACAAAATGAAAAAAAAAGTAAAAAAATCTATATCAAGCAGATATCCTAACACGCTCACGCTTGGAGCCTATTTTGAGATATGCCGCTGGAAGGGCCCACACTCGAGTCAGACAAACAAACGCTGCTAAGATCATAAACTCTCATTTAGATTTAAAACATTGAATAGTTTAATAAAACCTGATCAGTACACATAACAATGGAAACAAAACAACCACTGAAAATCGAATTTAAAATCATTCATACCTTAACAAAGAAGTGGTGTTGTGGGCATTGTTTACACTAAATTTTCAAAGATTATTTGTGACATTATTAACAACTCAATTTATACTTTTCATTCAAGGATCATTTTATAACATCCAACTCGGCCTGAATTACACTAACAAATGTAACCATTCTGTCCAGATTTTGTTCATTAACGAAAATTATGAATGTGGTCATAAAAATGCTGATAAATTACCTAGCCTAACAAAAACAACAACGATAATAATATGGTCGTATACCTCTCATTTGCTGGTGCAGAGTTGGCTGAGCATATTTCAATATGATTTCGAAGTTTACTCTGTTCAATAAATTTTAGACACTGGTTGCATTTCTGCTGAAGCTCGTCAACTCTAGAAGACTGAAATAATTTAACAATTCATGTGTACAGTTCCTTCTAACTGTACCATAAGAACTCATACAAACATTGTCTGATTTTTAAATTTTAAGTTAATGTATTTCAGATACCACAAATATTTTGTTCCTGTTTTCTTTGTTAAGTAAAATATTTTTGATTTTATATCAACAAAATTGTATATGTGTTATTAATTACCTTACTTGGAAAGTGCCAAAATCCAATGATGTAATTTCCAATTGGAAAGTGCCAAAATCCAATGATGTACTTTCCGATTGGATCCAATATGATTTTTTCCGATTGGAATGAATTGGCCATTTTGGTAAGGGAATGGCCGTATTTTGAGATGCTGAACGACATTTTTGGCGATAGACCCATTTCCTGTCCACCACACACAATTGACACGTCGTTGTCGGCTCTGAACACCAGTGATAGTAGTAAGTCTGTAGGCTATTTTTTCTTTGTTTTTTGTAATTTTCCCAGTTGGCCTAGGCTCTAGTTTGTAAGGTCGGGTGGGAGTTTGCCTTGCATTTTCTACCCCGGAAATACGAAACCCAAGTTATTCGGATACGGACCGTAAGGTTGTGTTAACTTTCAACGAAACCGGATAAGTCAAAAATGACATAATGCCCAGAGGGTAGGTCATTAGATCGCTCATTTACGAACCCCAATTTATTCGGATACCAACCGGAAGTTCCATCACTCGAAAGGTATGCTGGTATGGCCTTTACATGTAAACAAAACAAAACTTCACAGTCACACACGATACTACATGCTGTTCTGTAAAAGCTATCGCGATCTTTGTGAATTTGTATACTTTGCCAATTTTCTGTGTTTTTTACTTTAATATTATTATATATCACTTCAATCATATATTTATATCAATATAATTTGGTGGTGTAGTGATGTCTCCCGAGGAGTTTGCGTTGTTTGTAGTAGGAATATATTTCCTAGGCCAAACCCTGGACGCAAAAAATGCTGTGCAGCGGAGGCGAAGGAGACGCCGCAGCTCTACTCATCGGGCATTTGTTGCCGGCCTGCTTTACAGAAAAATGGCTGTTCAGTCTATTTTGACGGCATATGCTGGGACTATTGTAGAAGAAATCAACAACCGGCCAGAAAGATTACCAGCTCTACAAAGATCAGATAATTTTTGGAGTGTTGATGTGTTGCAGCGTTTCGACGACCAACAGTGGAGACAGAATTTTGAATGAGTAGAACAACATTTGAACGTCTCTGCCAGATGCTGGCACCATACCTGGTTCGTGAACGAAATTTCGAAAGAGTGTTAACGGTGGAGAAGTGCGTGGCAATAGCCATTTATAGGTTATCAACTAATTGCGATTTAAGATCGATCGGGAATGCATTTGGAGTTGCACGGTCTACAGTATGTGTCATAGTGCATTTAGTTTGCCATCATCTTTGCACACATTTTCGAGACCAATTTATTGTTTGGCCTACTGGAAATAAACTAGATGAGACTGTGAATGGTTTTCTCCGACTATATGGCTTTCCCCAGTGTGCTGGCGCAATTGATGGAAGCCACATCCAAATCCTTGCGCCTCACCAATACCACACTGACTATTCTAACCGGAAGGGGTGGCATTCAATTGTACTTCAAGCAGTTGCTGACCACAACTTGAGGTGAGTTACACAAATATAGAAGAACCTAACATATAAGCATGTAGGCCTAATGGAGAAGGCAAGACCTTTTTTATACCTTGTTTCACGAACTTATTTCATCAGTTCATCAGAGGGCAGAAAAAAAATAACAGTAATATTTTGTTTTCTTGTTTGCAAATAGTTTTTCCTAAAACATCGACACGGAGAATATAAAAATAACATTTCATTGGTAAACAGAGTGCAGAAATGAGATGGTTAAATGGTTTAAAATTATATAATTAGGAGAATTATAATTGTTATTATCTTTTGTCAGATTTACAGATGTGTTTGTTGGATGGCCTGGTCGAGCACACGATGCAAGGATTTTAAGGAATTCAGCCTAGGTGAAGCATACTCTTGTGTATTTTTTCAGCAACTTCAAAAATCCTGTGGATTTTATGAAATCATAAGAGCTTGCACTCTTTTCATTTTGATTTGATTTATTAGGTACTCGACATAACAATACAAAAGAGCACCAGGAAACAAAGACAAAAGAGCACCAGGATTACCCATTAAGCGATTAAATAAACGATAGGTGTCTAGAAAACTAAGATCTAGAAAACTAAGACCTAAGATATGTCTAGAAAATCTATTTTTATACCTTCCATGAGAAAACTAAGATCTAGAAAACTAAGACCTAAGATATCTTAGTTTTCTAGATCTAGAAAACTAAGATATCTTACTTTTCTAGATATCTTAGTTTTCTAGAAAACTAAGATATGCTGTCCTTTTCTAGATCTAGAAAACTAAGATAAATCTTACTTTTCTAGATCTAGAAAACTAAGATTTTTAATGATGGGTTGTACCATTATATCATGAGGTATTTTGATTTGAAAGCAGTAAAATAAGGTTATACCATTATCTCTAAGTGGGGTTCACTTTTTACTAAGGAATTTAAAAGTAATCTAGTCCTTGATAAATTAATTTAGTCCTTGATTTTGCTGTACAGACCATTTGGCATAATTGGTTGGATTAATTCATTAGATTGTTCTCTATGGATTGTTAAACATTCTAGATAGTCATTAGGGTTGTGTTTACGAACTTTCAACGAAACCAGATAAGTAAAAAATGACATAATGCCCAGGTGCAGGTATATCATGAACAACAACATGAGGATTACTGAAATACATTCAAAAATGGGTTCAATTAAATTTTCTAATAATTAGACTTTAAATAATTGATGGTTTATACAGTTTGCAATTGACTTGTTAAAATAGATTTCAACTGTTGAATATTTTGATAGTGAGCAAAATAAATCATTTTATTATAATATAATTATAATTATTATAATTATTTTGAGAGGAGAGAGCTTGAATGTAGATTCCTTTGTTCTTTGCTAGCCGCCGCCTCAATTAAAGGGCAATAAACTTAATTGGTGACCTTCTTTGATCTGGTAAGGCACGATGAGTTGTAATAGTTGTAATGATAAAAACAATTTTTCACGCTTAGAATGCTTGCAATCCGTAACGTAGGCCTGCCCTGTTGATCTATGTTCAGGCGATATATCGTGGATCGGTGATGGCTTCTTACAGCAAAGACAATTATTTTGTTGGCTCTGATTTAAGCGACTTAGAAGAGTATTTAGACACTGTGGACAAAATGGAAGGTGCAGAAAATAATATTGATGATGACAGTATTAGTACTTGTGGGCAAATGGGCACAATGGATATGATTTTTTGCGAGAATCCGTCATGCTCCATCAGATGGTTTCACTACAAGTGCATGGGTCTAACAAAGAAAACGATACCGAAAGGGCCGTGGCTGTGTGCTGACTGTGACAGCGGTAAGCTTAGGCTAGGCCATGCCTATTCCTAGGCCCTAGGTTCGAATTTTATTAATGTAACATGTTTGTTTCTGGAATAATTGTAGCAGGTTTTATAATTTAGCTCTGTTCATTTGCTTGAGTCATCTGCATGGCCATACTACTGTACTTAATAAGAATTAAGTAATACATGGGTATATTTGGGCCCTCCCTCGAAGGCATGATTTAAATTTATATTATACTGTATAATAAATTTGACATTTAATTTTTTTTTTTTCATAGGAAACACAGCATCTGGAAAACAAGGCAGGAAGACTGCTAAGAAAGATGTAATGAACAAGAAAAAGGAAGAAAAAACAATACATACTCCAAGTATTGAAGTGCACATCATCGTGTTGGGAATCCCAACACAATGGCGTGCATTTCAATACTTGGAGTATATGTATTATACTTTCTTATTTGTATAGTAAATGTAAACAACACGGTACTTTCCTGTGTCATTATCGGAAAAAATTCAAAACAAAGACGCTTTGCCCTTAACCAGTAGGTCATTACTATGAATGTTTACATATTATTAAATACCGCTTATGTGTAATTTTACTTTAAAATGTATGGTGTATTGTATAAAATGTAGTTTTAAAAGTGCAGTGCATAAACAATGGTCAATTTGTGGTTAACAATACTGTAGCTAGGTCCTGGCCAAGGCACTATGAAAAAATATATAGGCCTAGGCCTATTTGTTACAAGTACCGCACCTACTTTATGATAGGCCTATGTTAGACACAGATTATAGTACAGTCAATTAAAACTCAAAATAAAAGACACACCCACCTTCATAATGTGAACTAAATTTCAAATCAATGGCATATTTGTGTTGGCTACTGACACTGACTGACAGGCTAGGCCTAGGCTGCCTGTTTATTTTACTGTACATATAAAAATATTTAGTAATATTTTTTTGTTTCTTTTCTAAGGTCATGCTTAGGAGTTATCATCGAGGCAATGGCAAGCGAAAATGTCATTGAAGACAAATTAAAAGATGGAATGTCTCAAGCAAATGCTAGCAAAATGTTCCACGTGCAACGTACGCTACAGAACAAATTTAACAACAGACACATGAAAAAAGTTGGTAAACCACCAGTTATGAGTGATGATGAGGAAAGAATACTTGCCAGTACACTTGAAGAAGTGGCAAAGTGGATAGAAATGGCAGAAATGTGCCTTGTTTTAAAAACAACTTGTCTGGTGAAGGTTTCAAGGTTCATTGAATGTTTCATGAAGCGAAATGGACTGAGTAAAAGGACAGCCTGAAACATAAAGAGAGCGAGGACCAAAGTGTCCAAGGAGGATATTGAATCATACATTTTGATAATTTGCAAGACATTTTGAATGGAATTGATCCACAAAATGTTTACAATTATGATGAAACGAATGTCACAGATGACCCTGGATCAAAGAAAGTAATTGTTCTGCGAGGAATGCGGCGAGTGGAAAAGGTTCAAGAACACTCAAAAATGGCCATTTCAATTATGGCATGTGGTAATGCTGCAGGAGAACTCTTGCCTCCATTTGTGGTTTATAAAGCACAAAACTGTTATGAGAATTGGACTCAACTCGGTCCTGTTGGCACAAAATATGCTGCTACCAAGAGCGGTTGGTTTGATGGTGAAACTTTTGAACAATGGTTTCTGAATGTATTTGTGCCCCATGAAACTAAAACTCCAGGCAGCAAGTTGCTGATTGGAGACAATTTAGCATCACATTTTTGCCCTGAAGTCATTAATGCCGAAAACAAACACAACATTTATTTTACTACTTTGCTGCCAAAACTCAACCCACATGACCCAGCCACTGGATGTTGCCGTCTTCCGACCCATAAAAATAGTGTGGAAAAAAATTTTGTGTAACTGAAGGAAGCAGTCACGCCAAGGATCTATAACAAAAGAAGTGTTTCCATCTCTTTTAAACAGACTGTGGCAAGCCAATTCCCCAAATGTTACGGCAAACCTTGCTTTAGGGTTTAAAAAATGTGGCCTAGCTGCATCCATTTAATCCACAGGAGGTTTTAGGCAGTTTACCAGACAGGCAGGCACGCGAGCCAAATGAAGTTGCTTGTGACCTAGATAATTCACTAATTGAGCTCCTTAAAGAAAACCGTGGCCAAGGAAATGAAATGAAAAGAAAGCGGGTAGGAAAGTAAATGTCGCCCCAGGAGCAAAACTTAGTTTAGAAAATATCCAAAGTACAAGTAGTGATGTTCAACATGCAGTTCCCCTGGCAAATAATTCTGTAGCAAATAACAATTTGTGTACTGTGTGCCAAGTAGACATTAATATTTATAAAGGGCCAGAGTGGCTACAATGTGTCTGTTTAAGTTGGGTGTGTGGATTATGCAATGGTGCTACATACGATGCCGAGTACGCTTGCCCAAAATGTGACTGATTGAACATACATGAAATTTGAAAAAATGTACTGTAAATATGTTATTATTGTAAATACTGTAAATTATGATGCCGAGTACGCTTGCCCAAAATGTGACCGATTCAACATACATGAAGTTTTAAAAAATGTACTGTAAGTGTTATTTTGTGTTTTAAATTTTGAAAATTATTGCATTTAAATATTTTTGATAGTAGTCTGCCAAAGTTACTGTCACTCTTAGTACTGTATAAAATATTATGCCAAACCCTCACTATATTTTTTGTAAGTCAGAAGAACAGTTGCATTTCCATAATGGTGACATTCTTTTAAAATTTGGTGGGGACAATTCAATCAAGTTTGAACTTCAACTTTGCTGTTTAGCTAAACCCAATGCCCTCTACAACATCACTGTAGTCCTTGTGTTTGAAGATCCAGACCTCACAATTAACATAAAAAAGGACTGAATCTCGATGAGATTATGGACTTGGTCAATGGACATCCCCAACAACACAACAATAAGTTATAAAGTTGTATTATCCACCAGACATACAATACAGTACTGTACATGTACTGCACTACAATGGTTTAAATAGATACAACTATCTACAGTAATATTGGGATACTGTATGTATTACTATTTGAATACTGTAAAACCTTGAAAAGAGGCTTAATGTATCTCAATAAAATGAATGGTAAATAAAAATTCTTAAAAACAAAACACAAAATGTAAACAACAACATTAAGTGTTTCAAGGATTTAGATAGTAACTTTTAATAATTGTAAATAATAAATATACCATTAAATCATGAAAGTTTTTTTTATTTTGGTCTTCTGATGAGTTATTTTTATTAATTAATAATTAATTTTAAAAGTTATACAAAATATTTAGTTTGAGCTTTGGAATGTGCATATTTCTTATTTTTAAAGGAGACACTTGTGATGAATCCAGTAACAAGACCAAGAAGGATAGAACAGTGGATGCAGTGACCAAGAGCCTAAAAGAAATGCAAGAATACAATTTCAAAAGATGGAAAACAATCGATGAGAGGCAAGAAGCTGAATTGCGAAGGTCACAGGCCGCTATGGAAAGTAAGGTTGATAAAGTAGTAGCGGTCATCGACAAACAAATCGCAGAAAGGAGGGAAGAAAGAAAACAGACAC